TTGTTTATTTATTTATTTATTTTTTTTTTTTTGTTTTGTCATTTTTAAACTCTAAATCTCAAGGATTTGTATATGAAACCCACAGAAATGTAGTTTAAGAATTTATGGCCAGAACATGGAATTGAAATAATGGTTAGTCATAAGAAACCGAATCATAATTCATATTATGCCATATTATTTATATATTATAAACGAATTTATTCAAGAATATTTCCATGATTCATGTTGCCACGTTCAAATCTCTTATCATGTTTGCTGAACACTGAAACTTTTAGTTAATCCACAATGTCATCATCATAATTATAAAGAATACATATTTATATAGTATATGTATGTATTCATTCTTAGTTTTGGCTTGTTACACTCTCATCGCTGATAAGACCTAATTTTCACCTCATTTGGTCTTTGCTTTTGTTTTTTGCGTAATTTTCATAATTAAAACCAAATCAAGTCCAAAATAATAATAATAACAATTTCCTAGTCCTGTCTGGCCGCCGAAAATACACCAAAAATAGTTGCCAAATAACCAAAATTGGAACAAAAAATAAGAAAGGGCTGCACGACTAGAGTATACCCTTTATACATATATTTATTTCTTTTTGTGTATTTATTAATCAGTAATAAAAATTAAAGTTGTTGAAGTGAGTTTGCTCAGCTTTCCAATATTTCTAGCCTAACTGCAATGGGTTCTTTGAACAGCTCGATCTATAGCAAAATTAACCTGCTGGCCGTGCATACCTCTATATACAATTATAATCTACAGGGTAGCATTGGCTGTTGTCTAGCCAAACTTCTCTCTATATATATGTTAATGATGCCTTTCGCACAGTGAAATAATTTACATGAGAGGCAACCCTTTTGCCTTACCCCCGCTCAGCTCAGCTCAGACTCGGCTCGTTGTTGTTGCTTCCCATTATTTCCGTCTACATTCCAATCGGGCATTTGCATTCAGACTTCTATTATATTCTATTCTGTGGCCCTGCCTGCTGCTTGCATTTTATTGTCAGTTTGTTGGGTCGTTTGGGGTGCTGTCGGCCTTAAGACTTGCAACGTTAATTTTATGTCAACGACTCTTGCGTTTGATATTTTTATGGTAAATTGAAATCGAAGCGCTTCAATTTCGATGCTTTATGAGTTTATTCGGGGTAGTCAGCGCAACTTGTGGCAGGACGTAGCCTGCGAGCCCGCCATCGCCTTGGCAGCCAAACATTTGGGCCGCGCTATCAAATAACACACAGCAACACACACATTTGCATTTAGCTACTGTGTCGTTATTTTGGCTAGTAAACAACAAACAACAACTGAAATCCCGCCGTCGAGCCGCAGTTGGGGACGTTGATAAGGGCGACGTCGACTTTCGATGGGCTCCAAAATTGATTTTACAAAGTCCTGTACCCACTCACCAAGTCTCTCACTCACTCCCCCTCTCTCTCTCTCACTCTCTCTCTCTCTCTCTCTCTCTCTCTCTCACAGTCTGTCTCTTTTGCTGTCTTACCATATCGTGCACTCCGGCTAGCGGTATGTGATTGCCATCTTCGCCCGCATTGGCCACATATTTCTCCAGTTTCTTGAGCTCCGCTTCGATGGGCGTCCACTCGCTCTTCATGGCCAGCGCCAGCACCTTGTTGGCCGTGTCCCGTATCGAGGCGCCCGCACTGGGCGGCTTGGGCGCCGGGAACAGATCCGAATCCTTTTTGTCGCCATTGCTGGAGCTGTCATCCTTGGGATCCGAGTCGGCCTTGCTGGCGGGCGTTGCACGTTCGCTGGTATTGGCCGAATCGTCGGGCGGCCCCGTCAATGAGGAGGGCGTCTTGCGGCCAACGCCGGCGCCACCAGCGCCGCCGCCGCCACGCGCGCCCCGTCCGCCTCGAGGCTGCGACATTCCACTTGGCTTGGCTCAGACGCTCAACGCTTAACGCTTAAACGCTTAAACGCTTAAAGCTCTGCCTCTCGACCACTGGCCATTACACAACCAGGCACAAAGGAGGCGAGACTGCAGCCTATTGTTGCTTACTGTAGGAATTGTTTATGCTGTTCGCTGTCTCGCTCTAGCGTGTACGTTGCATAGCTTGTGGCCTGCGCTGGCATTGCACAATTGTATTATTTGTTGTTTTACCAATATTTGTTGCCAACAATTTGCATTTTCATTGGCAACACACAAGCACACTCACACACACACACACACAGACACTCAGACACGGCTCTGGTTGCTTTTGCACGGCGCCCACTTTTCGTATGTTTCCTTTACAACAATTACAACAACAACAACAACACATCCGCTTTACTATTATTATTGCTTTGGGTTTCTTTTTCGGCTGCTTTCTTCGCTTTCTTCACTTTTACTACACAATTTTATATGTTTAGCCTTATTTTTATGGCTCCTTTTCTGGTTGCGTGTGCGTCTCACTTTAGCGCCGTCGCCGTCGCCGTCGCCGTTGGCCGTCTTTGTTGGCCAAGTGTGTTTTGACTGCGAGTGCAAAATGTGGTAACAACCGTCTGCCACGAGCTTCTGCGAGTTTCTGATTTGCCAGTCGAAATTCCTTTTGCCACTTGACGTGGCAAGCCCCATTGTTGCGCACCTTGGCAACATGACGAAGCCGCTCACTGCAGCCGTCTGCGGGCTGCTCTGCGGCGCAGGCGTTTGTTTACAATTGTTGATTCCCCGAATGCCCGACACCGTTTTTGGCGCGAAAATCTCTATAAAGCGAACTCTCAGCCGTCGTCAAGTTCAGACTCCTCCAGATATCCCAAATCGAATAATTCCGTAAAAAGAGAAAACTGTTACACAATTACATAAAGCACATTTCTCTAAGGCTATCAAATTCCACACAGTTATCAAAATTTTTTCAAGTGAATTAAAAAAAAATAAAATAAGAAAAAAAAATGAAAAATACTGCTACACGTAATACTAGGAGCTCATCACGATCGCTTGATTTGCGGTCCCGAAGAGAATCGGCGCGCTCGTCATCGTCGCGAAAACCCAAAGCGCCTCAGCGAACCAGCTTCAGTCGAGCCAGTGAAGATGATGCTCAATTTGTGCCGCCAAGCAAATGTCGATGCGAATCGTGCCAGCTGCGCACTCCGAGCGCCGCGTATCAGCTGGAGCGAGATCGCATTGTTGCGAGCCGGCGCAATGTGCTGAAGGAGATCGATCAGAGTATCGACGATATGATCAGCGATCTGGAGCAACTGGTCAAGTTCCAGTCGATTTCGGTGGAGCCGGAGAAGCTCCTGGAAAGCTGCAAGGCTCTCGATTGGATGGCGAATCGATTGACCGATCTGAAGTTTAAGACCTATGACTATCCCATAGCCGATAATCCGAGCAACTGTTTTGCGGATCCGCATCAGAAGGTGCTCTTCGCCAGATACTTCTCCTCGCCCAGCAAGAACACGCTGCTGATCTACGGGCACTTGGATGTGCTGCCCGTTCAGATCGATTGCTGGATAAGCGATCCCTTCAAGCTGATAGCCAAGGATAATTTACTCTACGGCCGAGGCGTTACGTCCGGCAAAGGCATGATTGTGGGCTGGCTGCAGGCCATCGAATGCTGGCTCAAGGTCCATAACGATCTGCCCATCAACATCAAATTCATTGTGGACATGCTGCACGAGGTGGGCAGCACCGGCCTGCAGACTCACATCACGGCGAAAAGCGACTTCTTTGTGGACGTGGACTTCGTGGTGTTTGATGTGAACTCGTGGGTGAACAATATAAATCCCATCGTACCCTGCAGCCTCACCGGCTGGGCTCACTTTGGCGTGGAGGTGCGCGGCGCCAACAAGAATCTAGAGAGCGGTCTGGCCAGTGGCCTCGTCTATGAGCCAATGATTGATCTGTGCCATCTAATGAATGGGCTGGTCAACGACGAGCATGAAATCCAAATACCCGGCATCGAAATCAATACGAAGCGCCTAAGCACGGCCGAATGGCATCTACTCGAATCAGCCGAGTTTCGGACCTATGAGTACCGGGAGGATCTATTCGTGCGCCGGCTAAGGTTTGAGGATAACAAGGTTGAGTTTCTACAGAATCGTTGGTGCAAGCCCACGCTGACCATGCACGGGGTCGTGGGCGCCGACAGCCATCCGGGATGTCGTCGCATTCTGCCAATGAAAGTGATAGGCAAATTCTCCATCAAACTGGTGCCCGACCAGGAGGTCAAACACGTATTCAACCTCGTCAAGGATCATATGCGGTTTCTGAAAGTCGAGCTGAATGTGAGCACTCAGCTCAATGTGCATTTGCTGGATGGCATAGACCCGCTTTCTTGGACGACGGACTCGAAACTAATCAAGGCCGTCTGTCGCGCCGTGGAATCCGTCTACGAAAGGGACGTGATTACCACGCACGCCATACCCATCTGTCTGCCCATCGCCAACGTGCTGCAAAAACTGGTCAACAAGCCGATCATCCTGCTGCCCTACTCAAAGCGCATAGATAAGCACCACCATGAGAACGAGAGCATTGAGAGCTTGAACGTCTCGCGCCACACCAAAACCTGTGCCGCGCTCTTCGCTGAGCTGTCGACGCTGCGCCCCAAGTGCAAGTGCAATGTGCTCTACCAATACTGCAATTTGCGTGGTGTTCAGGAGATTTTGGATGCCGAGCGTAACGTGGATTTAAATGAAGTTGCCGTCGAGAAAAAATGGTATCAATTCACGCAAAAAGCTGCCTCGAGCGATGATCACCCCACACGGTCCAGAGCCAGATCCACCACATATACCTTGAAGAAATATTTACTATTGCCCTTCAGATGCAAGAGAAAGATTAAGAGGAGACATACCCAATCGACTTGAATCGATATGTCCCCTATATATGTACCTACTGTATGTTAAAAAGTCTAAGTATCGAGTATTGTTTTCTCAATGCTTGATTAATATTTATTTAGATCTATGTAAAAGCGTGAAGTGTCTCGAGTAAATGTGAAAGAGGCATTGAGCTAATTATACTATATCAAAATCTTATGTAGTTTTTGATGAACATCATTGAGATCACTTATATATGTTATCTGATCCAGGTGGCTCCGTTTGATCTGTTCATAATTTAGAAAAGCTCTTGAGTTCTAATTTGATTTAGATTTGATTCAGATTTCATTCAGTTAAAAATCAAAATTTCTACATATTTTAGGGATATTTAGGAAATTATTATAGAAGGTAGTAAAATGATTTGTTGGGGCGAACAGAACTGCTGCGGCGTATTTCTTGATCGTGACAAGAACGATCGTTGCGATTGCTTGCGCGATTTCTGCATCCGGGACTATGCTCCAGAAGATCGGATAACAGTGTCGGAGAAAGATTTGGATAAGGCGATTAATGCCTTGTATGACAAACAAGATTACAATATGGTCTATACGAGCGAAATAATCGCGATTAAGAGCATCTTGAGCAATCCAATGTACGTGAATGAAACTAAACAGCTCATCGATCGACTCTCCCAGCGCCTCACCGAGCTCGAGTTCGACGTGGAGGTGGTAACGGTGCAGCCACATGGTAATTTGAAGACGCCGCATTATGTGATCTTTGCCAATTATTTCTCGACGCCCGCCAAGAACGTGGTGCTTGTCTATGGCCGCGTGACCGTGAAGGATGTGAAAAAGCGCGATTGGACGCATTACCCTTTTCAGCTGACCCAATTGAATCAGGATCTCTTTGGCAATGGCTTGACTTCCACAAAGGGTCCCGTGCTCTGTTGGATATTTGCCGCTCAGGCCTGGCTCGATGCAATGAACGATCTGCCGGTCAACTTGAGATTCATTATCGATACCTTTGACACCGATTACAATCAGATGCTGCGAAAGGTGATTGACGATCGTAAAGTTTTCTTCAAGGGCGTGGATCTGTTGATAACTACCACCAATCTGTGGATAACATCAACAACCCCGCTGCTAACCACCAGCCACAGCGGCTACATTTACTTTGAGCTGGAGGTGAAAGAGAATGCCAAGAAGGAATGCCCAGAGGAACCCGAGCTGGCGGAGAGCTCAAGGAAACCAACACGACAGCCCATGGCTGAGATGTGCCTGTTGATGAACACTCTCACGGATCCAACGAGCAAATTAATGATAGATCTGAACCGTCATGTGCTGCCCGTAACACACCGCGATTGGGACATACTTTCCAAGGCTGAGATGGGCATCATGGAGTTCAAGAACGGGTACGACGTCAAGCGCCTGCTCCACGAGGAATCGCAGGCTTCGTTCCTCAAGCACCGTTGGTGCATGCCAGGCCTTAGCATGCACAAGGTGGAGTACCGATCCTACGCCGGAATGCGCGAGTTTTATACGCCGTCCCGCGTTGTGGCCAAGTTCTCCGTCAAGCTGGTGCCCGATCAGAGTCTCGATTACGTCACCTTCTTGGTCAGAGACCATTTGGAGGAAGCCTACAAGCGACTCAAATGCGAGCATCCCGCATATCTACGGATCACGGACTCCCTTAAGCCCATAAACGAGGCCAGGCATGCGCCCTTCAATCTGTCAGCCAAGCGAGCGTACGAGCGCGTTTTCGCGGTCGAGGCTGCCATCCCCGATACCATGTGCACCTGCATACCCATGCTGAACGAGCTGCGCAAGTACTGCATGAGCAACGCCCAGGTGATGGGCATGCCCTTCTGCTCCGTGCACATGCAGGGCGGTCAGATAAACGAGGGCTTCACTCGCGAGCATTTCTTCAAGAATCTGGAACTGTTTGTCACAATGCTGTTCGAAGTGGCGCTCGTGCCACCTGAGTGCAAATGCACCGAAATCAAGGACTACTGCTTCGAGAATGGCAAGACGGTGTATCGCGACTTCATCCGCATGATGCACCCGCGAGAACGTCAAGTTTCGGACGTGCTCTTTGAGCTGGACGAGGCTGAGATCGATAAGGCGCCCGGCCACCGAAGAGACTATCCGTCCATAACAGAAATGCTATTGGGCAAAAGAAGCGCACAAGCGGCGAAACGCTAAAGGATCCCATGCTTGGCGCATTCATTCACCTATCAAGTTGTTCATAATCCAATCGTTCCATGTGAGAGTAGTCTACAGTACAGTACAGTATTTCGCTGTTAAAGTCGACAGCACCCACAGCACACACAGAAAACAATAAAACTTGTTCAATTATGATGCTAATGCCCCCGACAAAAAAAGAAATAAATTGATAAGAATTTCTTAGATTGCTAGCTTAACAAACTTTTAAAGACGAACGAGAACTATACTTGCTTAAATACAAATTAGTTTAAAATTGCCAACTGTCATATATGTACTCTATTTCTTTATTCGAAAGATATTTAAATTTAATTTCCAAATGGAATATTGTCTAAATTCTAGTTTTACTTTCTTAAAAGTTTTTATGCAAACTTCAGAATTAGTTTATGTATATTCCGCTGTCATTCAATAATCCCAAACCAGTTTTCTAAAGAAGTGAGATAAAGGCTTCGCTAAATCAATATACCTCAATATATTTTAAAAACAGTGCACTGCTAAGCATTCTAAAAATATATTTTTTGGAAATATTCCAAACAGCCAGACGGTGAGCAGACACAGGCCAACAATATGATAAGACGTATAAAAAGTTTAATATTTTGATTAGCATATCAGCAGAGGAGGTACGGAATATTGTAGATAATAGGTAAACAGCCACACGACGTTAGGCTACAAATTTGAGATACGGTAGATATATGTACATATGTATGTATGTATTCGATATGAGATGCAGGAGAGGAAGCAAAGTAAATAAGCAAACATTTAAGGTAAGTAAATAGGTATTTAAAATGAATAAATAAACTTTATATGGAATAACTTTTTAAACTGTGTGTATGTATGAGATATGTACATACATTTGACAAAATTTTTATATACATATACATTTCATTACTTATACATTACATATGGAATACTTTCATAGGTACATACATATGTACACACATATGCATTCACATTCATATTTACATGTATACATATATAAATGTGTTAATACTCTTTCATACATATGTACATATGTATATGTATGTATACATATACATATACAAAGGTACATATGTAAGCAGTACTTATTGGGTACATATGTACATATATACAGACATGTACATACATACATAAATATGTACCTATTTATAGATCTGTACACGCCCCGCTAATTGATTTCAATTTCCTATCATTTTCTACATTCTGTACTAACATACACACACACACAATTTTAATTCAATTTGCAAGCACCAATCTGCAATGTTATCAAATTTTATTAGAATGTTCGTGCATACACATACATTCCTACATATGCTAATGTAGTGCTTGTGTGCACACACACAAGTACCACAGCAATTCAAACATAACAAATCAAGTTGGTTAAAAAGAAATGCAAGAACTAAAGCTGACCAAAGGCAAAGCAGAGCAAACCAGTTCCCATAGATTCACACACAATAAAAGCATCACAGCAATGCGAGCAAAAAAGCTTTTTCAATTCAAAAGCACAAAACGCAAAACAAAAATGCTCGACGCAAATACCGGCATTAAGAACGTAACGGAAAAACACATAAAAATACAAACAAAAATCAAACAAATAAAGCGACACGTGTCGAGCGAAGAATGTGAGAAAGAAAACAGAAAAGTTGATAAGAAGGAGAACAAAACAAAACGCGGTAATATTGGCATTGATCTGCCAACGAAAACTAATGTAAAGATGAAAATATGTAAAAGTTGTAGCAATCAATGAGAAAATGATGCGTGAGYCGACTCTTAAATACCCTCTGTGTGTGTATCGATAATACGAATATTATTATTATTATTAGATTTCATTAATATTATCATAAATAATTATTTTTATTTATTTTCTTTTTTATTTTTATTTTTTGTTTTATTTTTATCTGAAGTAACAAATTTTGGAAAATGTTCGTAAATGTTCGCCATTTGTATGCTTAATCTTTATGGTTAAATGTCGCCCTTTGATCTATTGCGCCTACTCAACCCTAATATACCCCTCAAGCTTAAAGTTTGCTTTGGACTATTTAATCGTATTTAAAAAATCATTCTGTTCTGCATCATCGTCACACTCACACTCACCGCACTCTCATCTATCACGCTCTCTCTCTCTCTCTCTCTCTCTCTGCCCGTTTGCTGCTCTCTCATTCTCTCTATGAGTTGAGCAAGGCGATGTTGATTTCAATAAGCTAGCTCTGCGCTTCCACAGTTCGTGGTTGTACGCGGCGAATAGTGGACGTGTTTGTTCGAAGCATTGGCAAATTTTACCTAAAAGTTCGAAAAAGACTGCGCAAATTGCTCACGCAAACTTAAACTTGAAAAGTTATGAAAAGTGATCTTATTGTTGTTTGAGTGTGTTTATTTCGTTCAGTGTATAATATGCTCAACAAGAAGCTACAAATCGTCGCCAGACATGTGCTCAAGCAGAGCTTGGGCCACAAGGCGCTGCGCTGGTAAGTGCGTTCTTCTTAGCGGAGACATAAACCCACCCACACACACACACATATGTATAAATCAATGTCAAGTAGCCAGGACCCCAGCTGTTGCAAAGGATTATCTCAACTGCACATATGCTCGTAGTTGGTTCGATTGGATTATCTTGAATATGCTTGAGTTCGGGGTTGTTCCTCTCCACATCAGCTTCTCTATATTGCCAGAGAAATTACGTAATATTCCAAAGAAACCATATACCAAATGCTTCCCATTTTAACAAGCTGTGCAGAGCATCTGATTGAATAACAAATATAAATGTGTGTGTTCATGAAACTACGCAAAACCGTTTGAAGCACCTGTTGCTGTGGAACATTTCCGTTAACAGTGGAGAACATTTAAAACAGATATGAACCACTTGATACCAGAAAGCACACATACTTTTATTTTTACCTATTATTATATATTATGATATAATAAGCTGGTATATAAACAAATACGCTGTTATAGTGATAAGCGGCAAAGTCATGTAACTATTAACATGCCTTTATATATGTATGTACATATGTGCATATGCTTAAGTACATATGTACATACTAATATGCGTGCACACACACATTAATACGACGCTCTCCAAGCCAACCCAAACAAAAACAATAGACGAAACGTTGAAGAGCAGTTACTGTAAACAGAGCGCCATAAAATACTTGCCATAAACTATTTTTGGCTCAAGCTTTTGAATAGCTTTTTCTTAGCTTGAGAACTCAATATATCAAAGACACACAACCCCTTCGCAGCAGAGACACAAACCACTGCAAACATGTTAACATATTTCAGTGTATAATTATTATTGAACTACATGTGCTATAAAAATACCCTATAAAAGCTGATATAGGTAAGATAATTCATAAAAGTCTACAAATTGTATTACTATTTTATGATTAACTAATTAACTTCTACATAAAAGCCCAAGGAAAACAGAAAACTCGTAAACTTTATCGCAAAGTATTATGGGGGTTATATAATAACAAAATGTTTCTACAGACAATCGTGGATTCATACATAATATTTATTTATTTACATTTTACTTTACTTCCATTCAGTTCAAATATATACATTGCATGTATTATTATTATTATATCTCTCGACCTTTCCATTGCAGGCTCTCCACATCGAGCCCTGCCTACAGCAGCTACATACATCACATAGGCAAGGAGCCCCTTGCCTATCGCAATGTGGGTCAACAGCTCGAGCTGGCCGCCTCGCAGTTTGGCAGTACGGAGGCGCTGGTGTCGTGTCACGAGGACAAGCGATATACGTACCGCAGCCTGATAGCCGAGGTGGATCGGTTGGCAGCATCACTGCGAAAGCTGGGCCTAAACAAAGGCGATGCCGTGGGCATCTGGGCGCCCAACTATGTACAATGGTATCTGGGCATGATGGGGGCAGCGCGAGCAGGCCTCATCTCGGTGGGCATTAATCCTGCCTACCAGGCTCCCGAAGTCGCATACTGTCTGAACAAAGTGGACATCAAGGCCATTATTGCGCCCGAGACATTCAGGACGCAAAATTACTATGAGATCTTGCGCAACATCTGCCCGGAGCTGGCCGACTCGGAGCCGGGCAAGATCAAAAGCGAAAAATTCCCACATCTGCGCGCGGTTATTATTAATAGCACACAGAGCCTGAAGGGCGCGCTGCGCTTCGACGATGTGCTAGGCTTCAGCAATGCCGATGAGCAGGCGGAGATTAGCAAACTGCAACGCCTAATTCTTCCCGAAAGTCCTTGCAATGTCCAGTTCACATCCGGCACTACCGGCAATCCCAAGGCGGCGGTGCTCTCGCACCACAACTTTGTCAACAATGGCATCCACGTGGGCAAGCGCAACGAGATAGCCGGCGAACGAATCTGTGTTCAGGTGCCACTGTTCCATGCCTTTGGCGTAGTCATCACCATCATGGCGTCCATGGCCACGGGCGCCACTATTGTCCTGCCAGCAGCCGGCTTCAGTCCCGAGGACTCGTTGAAGGCGATCATCAAGGAGAAGTGCACTGTGATACACGGCACACCCACAATGTATGTGGATCTGGTTGCTATGCAGCGAAAGCTGCAGATGCCACTGGGCAAGATTAAGAAGGCGATCACAGGCGGTGCCACCGTCTCGCCGCAACTCATCCTGGATGTGAAGAACGTCCTGGGCGTGGAGGCCATGCACAGTGTCTACGGCCTGACCGAGTCAACGGCTGTCATCTTTCAGTCGCAGCCCGGTGAGGAGGGCAATCGAGTGCTCGACTATGTGGGCCATCTCACTGACCACGTGGAGGCCAAGGTCATCGATGAGCAGGGCTGCCTGGTGCCCCTGGGCCAGCCGGGTGAGCTGTGCGTGCGCGGCTACATAACCATGCTGGGCTATCACGGCGACGAGGCGAAAACGAAGGAAATACTCGGAGCCGACAATTGGCTTCACACGGGCGATCAATTTGTGCTCGAGAAAGATGGCTATGGTCGCATCGTGGGCCGTCTCAAGGACATGGTTATACGAGGCGGTGAGAACATATTCCCCAAAGAGGTTGAAGACTTTTTGAACACCCACCCACAGGTGGTCGAGGCTCATGTAGGTGTACCAGCCATCCCCCATTAAACAGCTGATCAATAAATGAATTTCTTCCTCAGGTAATTGGCGTTCCCGACGAGCGTCTGGGCGAAGAACTGTGCGCCTTTGTACGCCTCGAAAATGACGTCGATCCCAAGTCGTTCACCAATGCGACTGTGCGCGCCTACGCCAAGGGCAAACTGGCGCACTTCAAGGTGCCCCACTATGTGGTGCCCGTCGATTCATTCCCCAAGACCACCTCCGGCAAAATACAAAAGTTCAAGCTATTGAAGCAATTCGAGGAGACTTTCCCACAGAAGAAGGATCAGACACAGGCTGTTCGAGTTTAAATATTACTAGTTCTGGTTCTCGTTTAACTCATAGAGCAATAAAGATTTTCAATTGAAGGTAAACACATTTCATTTTATTTAGAATCTAGTCCCCTTACTCCCGGACGATGCAATTCTTGGTAAAACTCTGCACGCCTCCTTCCCATAATAATAATCAAAGTTAGTTTTTGAAACAATTACTATTTTATTTTAGGTTTTGAAATGATTTAGCAAAAAATATTTTAGATTTTCTTTCTATAGCCATTTGTGTTATACTGTTATACAATTTGCTTTGTTTTCTATATTTCTTAAATTCATTCACCTTATATTGGGCATGCACACAAGTTCTGTTCAGTTGCTGTTGTTTTGCTGGGGGCTCACACATAAAAATAACATAGAGTATCTGAATATTACTTAAGAATTAATGACAATGCTGCGTGTTATAGACCTCTGCGTATCCCTATAGCTTTTACATTTAAGACTTGCCAGATTAGATACCGTTACGGATAGGGATACGGATGCGACCTCAGATACAGAATACAATCAATGATAACAAATTAAAAATTAAAATTGTAACTAAATGCTAAGTCCTAAGAACTAAGTGTAATATCTGATTTAACCTATAGTGTAGATCAATTAACATAGATGATTCTCTGATTAATCTTGATGCTAAAAACTAAATAATAAATAATGTTTAATCAATTTCGCAAAACACACGCACAAAAAATATTAATTAACGCTTAAGTTCGTAGTTCCTATAAATGGAACTGCGTAACATTTTACAATTTTAGATATTAGATTTTAGTGGGCTTTAGCTTATAAATTAAGGACATCAAGTGATTTTTTGTTTTTTGTTTTGTCTGTTTCTTAACTTTGAGCTCAATGGGAAATACGTGGGCTAGACTTATAATTGGATTTCTGGGTTTTACTTTTCTTTTTAGGGCATAACATTTATGTTCATATATATATAAGATATCTCAAGTTGTTTCTTTTTGTTTTTGGGTTAGAATACCATAATATGTATGTATATGTATAGTTATAAATGTATATTGTGTATATATATATAGTTAATAAGTTGAATGCAAATCTATTYATATACTGCTTGAGCTAAATGCCTAACCCTCATTGGATGTTGCATATCCTGGTTGTGGAGCAACATAATCTACAGTCGGGGATAGCGTTTGAAACAGTTTTCATTGAAGTTGTTTAAAGAGTGGCTCTACTATTATACTGTCATACTGTTATACTACTTTTAGGTTACTATAAATCGATCAAATCTTTTATTCAATTTCTTCAAATGATTTTTTTGATTTTACGGATCGTATGCATAAAATGACCTACATATAACACTTTAGTTATTTCGTCTCATTTGCTTTATTCAATATCAACCCATAAATAGTTCTCTTGAGACTGTGACGGATCCACTTACTATGAGTGTTTAAATATGTGTGATGAGTGTGTGTGTGTGTGTGTGCATAAAATCTTTCTTTTTTTCATTTCTATTCCCTCTTATCATAGCCGTATATGAAAATCGATATACATATATGTATATAAATTGTTTTTGCCCTCCTCATAGCTCATCCATTGAAGCGCTCATTAATGAAAATATTTACAGGAAACTTTGTTTAATCAAATTTGCAAATTATTTAAGGCTTATTTCTAGCTTTCTTTTCTCCATCCATATATATTATTTCCTGTTTCTCCTTCGCTTCTCTCATGACTCCCTTTTTGGCCTTTGCTTTGCGCCAAGCTTTGCTTTAGTTTAGTTTATGTTTTCGGTTTTGTTTTGTTTTGTTGCCCATCCAATTGTTCTACAATTTATGCGCGCCCGCTTTAAAAGCTATCATCATCATAATCATCGTCTGCATCCTCCTCTTCGTCGTCGCCACCCACAATTAGCTCCTCCTGCTGGGCATCGGCGTCTATTTCGTAAGCCTCTTCTGCTGCCTCGGCAATCTGCTCAATGACGGCGCGTTCCTCGTAGCCCACATCATCCTCGACAAGTGCCTGTCATGCGAGTGGAGGTGCAGCGGCAACATCCGCATCGGCCGCATCCTCCGACCAACTCACCTCCATGGGCGTGCCATTTAGGCTGCTGATCTGCTCTAGCATTAATGCCTCCTCGATGGACATGTGTGACGGTTGCTTTTGGCACTTGGAGAGCGTGCAGCCTGCCGCGGATGCTGTGCTGGATGCCGACGAGCTGCGCATATCCTCGGACGATGCCGAGCAGCTCTCATCCTCGGAATTGGCGCCGCTGACCATGGCCTCGCCAGCTGATTCCTGTATCTCATGGAACTTCTTCAGGGCCTTGGGATAGGCATCCACAGAGCTCATCAGCTTCATCGTGCTGCTGCGTGGCCGCAACCCCACACTGATTGAGCCTTTATGCGGCGAACTGGAGCACAACTCGTCCACGTGCCAATCGGGCAGTGTCAATTCATTCGGCTGTGGCGGCAGTGGCTCCGGCTGTGTCTGTGGCTGTTCTTGTTGGCGCTGGGAGGAGGCTTTGGTACAAACGGACTGGGAGCGAGCACGACAAAGCGGATGCGGCGACTCCGCATCCAGGCCATGGCTGCGCATCACTGCCGTGGCCGACATGCTCTGCGACAGCGGATTGGGACCAGGGCTATGTCCGTTCTGGCCATGGCCATTGCTGGCCACAGTGGCGCTCTGCGACAGCTGGCGACGCTGCATGGGGCTGCGCTCGCTGGTGCTGCGCAACGAGCCGGCGCGTCGCACCAGCTTCGAGGCGGCCACCTGCGGCGTTTCGTCGTCCATTTCGAGCACATAGCTAACGGAATCGTTGCGCTTGATGACGCCCATGATGACTGGTGTGGCTGGCGGCGATGTGTTGGCCGAGTTGTGGCTTGACTCCAGGCAGGAGCGTGACGAGCTGCAGCGACTATGCGGGTGACTGAGGAAGCTATCGAGCGAGCTAGTGGAGAGCTCATGGAGTTGGGCCTGGACCAGTTGCAGCTGCTCGGAGCGCTGCTTCAGATGGTACTGCAACTCCTCTTTGTCGCAGGTGAGACGTTTGCGTTTGATGCTTTCGTGGTTGAAGGCCTTTTGCATCTCTTCCATTTGACGCTGGAGATCTCTGCAAAGGATAGATCAAAGAGTTAGTAAAATAGATCAAGCTTGGCATTGGCAGTAGTATCAGCACATACTTCTCCTTCTCGTTTTTGGCCTCCAGCTCGGTGCGTAGCATCTCGGCTTGGGACTCGAGCAGGGTGAGGCGATTGCACATGCTGCGCTGCTCCTCGTTGTCGCGCTTCAGCTCGGCATTCTGTTTGGTCAGATCGGCGATCTTCTCCTGCTTCATATCGAGCACGTGACGCAGGCTCTCCGCCTCCCTGCGCCACAATTCGACGCTGCCGGTGTCGCTCTGTCCGCTGCTGCTCCTGCTCGGGCTACGACGCTGCGAAGAGCTGCGTAGCACACTGATCTCATCCTCGGACAGGGCCAGACGATCACGCAGATCGCGCTCCTTGTGCTCGGTGCTGGCGCGCAGCGTTTGCAGCTCCTTGGTGATCGACTTGATGCGCTCCTGCAGCTGCTCCTCGCGCATTGTGGCCTCAGAGAGGCGTTGGGCATTGATATTCTCGACTCGTGTCAGCTTCTCGTGCAACTGCAGCTCCTTGGCGTCCTGCTCCTGCAGGCGTGTCTGCAGCTGTAGCACTTGCTGCTCAGCCGCTGTTAGCTGCTGCTGCTTGTGGCGCAGCTGATGCGCGACCTCCTGGTGATACGTTTGCAGGGCCTGTTTCTTCTCCTCGTCCTTGGCCACTAGCTGGGCTTCCAGCTCACGGAAACGCTCCTTGGCAAGCAACTGCACCTCCTGTACTTTCTCGTGAGCTGCAGCAGGAGTTTTATAGTTAGTTAACCTATCGACTTAATTTCAAGACTTTTGTGCTACACCTACCTTGCTGCAGTTCCCTGAGTTGCAAATGCTCCCACTCCTGCTGACGCTGCGACCACTCGACGTCTTTTTCGTGCAGCTGCTTACGCAGCTCTTCGCAGTTGTGTTGCGTCTCCTCCAGCAATACCTTCAACTCACTCTCCCGACAGCTCAACATTTCCATCTGCAAAGCAAAGAGCAAACGAAATATTAGTGAGATCTCTTCAAGGATTTGGCTACCTGCAATTGTTGGCATTCGAAGTGTTTTTCTGGCAGTTCGCACTTTGGGCCTATTGTTCGTTCGAATGGCTTTACGATGGGAATTTTCCCTGGGCCATAAATGCCATCAAATGCATTTTACGACGAGTGAAGGAACAAAGTATCCTCAGTTGAAGCAAACCCTGACTAGCATAGTGAATATTTTTTAAGCATTTTTTAACTAACATTTAATGAAGTTATTTTCAAGGAATTCCTATCATTTATAGTTGAAGACTGACATTAGTAGTAAATGTGCCAGCCCAGTGTTGATTGAGAAAGTCAAAAAGAGTTGCCAGGTTATCAAAACAATTTTTCATTGAAGCTGAAAGGTATTCCCTATACACAAAATAGTTTTTCATATATTATGTGATTGGTAAATATTTCAGGATATGTTGTAGATTATATGTAGAGCAAAGCTAAATCTTCATCCATATACAATATGATATAAATTTCTCTTACCCCAGCTCTCCTACTCTTTCATCTCTTAGCTATCTCTAACTTACATTAGCTTCCTAGCCCAATCAAAAGCAAATGCAGACAATTCTCATTCTGGCTTCTTGAACACTTGAACTTAGGTTTAAGATCATAAAAGAAGGTATCTAAAATGGAAAGAAATATGCGTCACCCTCCACTCGTAAGTATGCAAAATGCAATCGAAAATTTCGCAGAAACAGTCGAGATATAACAAAGTATTTACGCATCTGCCTATATCTCATATACGCTCTCAAATAACTCTCAATTTACCTGCTGCTGTTCAAACTGCGTGGCAGTCGCCATATTATCATTGAAATTATTCACATTGCCTGTCCAACTGATCAAATCAAAGTCCATCGTTTCGGCGGATAAATTTTCGTTGGGAAGCACAAAATTGTCAAACATTTTTGTAAAATACTTTTAGAGCACACACAAACTCGTGTTGAACACGACGAATACTTGAAGTAGACTGACGAAAGGAAGAACTCTACCAGGGCTTTTATAGCGAGCAGGTAGCTCAGGCTGTGCAAGCAAAGATCCGGCGGACAGGTCAACCAAACAGTGAAGCAAATATTTACAGCGGATTTAGAAACTAGCGAAAACTAACGAAAAGGATTTACAATTTTTATACCACATGAGACGGAAGAGCACTGAAAAAAAGCATCAAAAATTTGCAAATTTTTGGGGTGTAACCCTCGGTGGACCGATGGGCGTTTTTGGCTGCTCGGTCAACGCCTCGAGCCAAGAGCAGCGACTCGACTCGTCTGGCTTAGAGCTACCTCATGTGGTTTGGTCACATATCAAATGCACGACCAAGAAATTCGTCACAGACGAGTCTGGGCCACAATCTTCGACAATCCTCTTTCAATTTGGGGCGTCCCTTGAGGGTTGTCTGAATGCTCTTCAATTTGTGCACCTCTTCCCTCCTTGCTACGCTTTGGGTGGACGCGTGTCGAAGTCTGAGCGCCTCAGCTGGCTTAGATCCCTCAAGTACTTGACACCTAAATTTGATTAGCTCTAGTTCAAATTGCAATTGTCACGTTACAATATGAATCTAATGAAAAGTCAAGAGAAGTTTTTGTTCTTTGAAGAGTCAATTTGATGTGGCTCAAGTGGTTTTAGAAAGAGTTTTTTTCAAAGTTTCAAAAACCAAGATTAGGAGTGTACGATATAGAGAATAAGCAAACTTGTGTATACCATATCATATGAAAGAGCTTAAAAATTTTAGATGAGACATATTCCAAGCATTCCATTCAAATGTAGATGGGATTGGGATGGAGTTTGGTTTTTGATAAAGTTTCTTGGGTCTATTTATATCTAATTCATAGACCATTTCTTTGTATTGTTAAATGTGTTTGTATTGCTGAACTTTAATTTCTTAAGATAAACTTGATACGGTTGTTACACTTGACTCTTATAACAGTTGTTTCGAATGCTTTGAAGCTCTCTATATATGAGCTAAGTCCCGTGCAACACAAGAGACTTTGCCTATAATTTCAATCATTTAATTGACAGTTAAATCATCGTTTGGATAGTATTAGAATATGACTAAATGTAAGGATGACTAACGCAGAGGAATTTCGCAAAGCATGTAGTCTGAGAACAGTAAGTATATAGAAATGATATAAGATATATGTAATATACGAAGTTTAGTCATAAGTAAAAAGAAAAGGTAAGCCTGGTCTACAATAAAGTATATATAGTCTGGAATATATATTTTTCTGTAGTCTACATAGCAGTATAGCTCATTTCTCGCTTATATTACAATATATCCAGCAACGACAGAGATAACTCGTTAAATATTTAAAGGAATGAGTGACAGTTCTATAAATCTCTACATAGGGAGATGGATCTCTCAATCTTACTAGCAAAGAGAGAGCCGGAAATTCCCCAATCTCTCTAGGAAAGAGAGAGGGATCTTTGAAGCGAAAGGGGATTTCATGATCTGCCCTCTCCTTCTCTCTTTTCTTTCCTTATTAATTTGCCTGTCTCCCGTCAGCTAATAATCGAGAGACAAGTTGATCTGCAAATTAAAAGAGTCCGACGTTGATATAAATCTCTCTGCATGCACGCCCGTTGTCTGGCGACATGATTAATAATTTGGATGTCGTTACGTGTCTGCGACTAGTTCATGACTCTGTCTTCGTCTTCGTGTTCCTCATCGTAGTCGTCTCTGCACTACCTGAGTAACTGCAATTAAAATGTGACTCACTTCTGTGCAGGACACGTCGTCAGTTATTTCGCTGACTGCACTTAATCCTTTGACAGACTGCGAAGAGTCTAAATAATAGTTCGAATCTGAAATTTCTAGAGCATTTCTCAGCTGTGACATTGACCGATGAGAGTCGTGCGTGTCCTTCATATTTGTCCTCAATAAAACACGCTTCTCTCAGCGTATCTCTCAGATATAAACGAACGTCCTTGTGCGGGCATTTTCCCGGTTTTCACACTACTATGCGAAATCTGAGCTCCGAAATCTGACTGGATCATAATATTTAAATAAATATTTATGTTGCAACAGCAGCCGTTAAGGCTTTTAGTGGGAAAACAACAATTTCTCGAGTTGGGCAATCGAGAAATTCCGCCGAAAATTTAGCCTCGTGTTGATTGTTTGTGCAACGACCGCATGCAACAAGTTAGCCAAATATTGCGGCAACATTTCTCATCTACCACCATATGAAAGTTGTGTAATCAATGGGATTTGAAGGGGTTTTTTTCCGCCTCGTGTTGTGAAAAATTTCCACCGGCTCAGAGGGAAAATACAAAACATAATCGATTATTTTTGGGATTTTTTTGATATTTAAATTTGTAATGTAGACTTGAAGTTCTTTAGGGGAAAAAAACAAATACATTCAAATGACATTCAAATTAACTTTTAGAAATGTTCAATGTTTCTTTTCTCGATCTTTAACTGTATTCATACGTAGATTATTTCTTTATTCTTTCACACTACCATTATATATATAGGATTCTATAGATTTGTTCACTTGATTCTGTGTCTTTGTTCCTTTTCACATTCATCATTCAAGCTAGTCTATACAATATATTCCAAGCTTATCAACTATTATCTAACACAAGAAAAATCTGTGAATGCAAAAATGTTGAAAATTCCCCGCAAATAGATTTGTTTTTCTATATCCTCTTTTACTTTACTGACTTATCGTAAGCTGAACAAACTGTTTAAAACTGTTCCCGCTTCGGTGTATCCTGTGCAAGGATTTACGCAATTGTACCTCAGATATATGCACGAAATGTCTTAAAGCATAGCTAGCGAAATGTTTTTTCCTCTTTTGGTCATTTGCAGCGATCTCACCTGATATGCGCTGCTACCTGCTGCAAGATGCATTTTTGCGGTTGGGAAGTCAGCAGACAAACAACATCATAAACCGATTTATAAAGGGGAGAGCAGTACGACAGAGCGCGCGATATATGCAAATGTTAAAATAATGTTTGTCGCCTATTTTTATGATCTTGTTATTGATATTTAATAGCTAACCAAAGCAAGCAAACACAGGTAGTTGAATATGCAACAAGTTCACTCAAGAGCTCTCGCTATGTAACCTAGACGGAACTAAGTCTAGATCTTAGATTGAAAAATCAGCTAAAGAAATTGTTGGTAGTTTCATTTTTCACATGCATGGAAGATTACAGATTACAGAATAAAATTTGATCAAATCTGGTAACCAAGAATCAGAAACTAAATATTACTAACAATTTTTAGATTGTTAAGCTATACAGCTGAATCACATGTTACTTATTCATCGCTGAAAGGCTTCAATTCAAAGGTAGATTAGGCCAACAGGTAGTCAGAGAGAGCTAAACCCGATCGAATTAAAAGACAATTGACAAATGAAGAACTGCATTTCCAACACCTCTGCAAAGTTTTATATAGAGCAAAGGGCTACGAAACAGTTGAAACTGTTAAAACTCACACGTGGCCAAGAAAATTCACAGAAATAGTGCGACGCATTGAAAATGATAACAATTAATTGAATGCCCGGGCAGAGCTCACACCCTTTCACAAAATAAGTAACTGAGACAAAAGAATGCGAAGCAGTTGTAAGGGTATCTTTCTCTATATATAGAGAGCAGGGGTATCACATATGTTGAAAACAGGCCAAAACTTTGCGCTGGCCAAACTTTAATTAGTGCAAACAGAAAAGTGGCCCCGGCTCAGTGCCGGATCTGGTTGCAAGGGATTGAGGGTCTTAGCGTACGGTGCAACAATTAAACAAAATTAGCTCAAATTTAAGCGCGGATTAAGGCAAATTTCCATAGCAGAGATCTCGGGCCTTTATTAGAGCAGGTGAGACCTTTGGCTTGTGCCGGACAAAGGGAATCAGTCGTGCATAAAACTGAACAAAGTTTTTGACAGACTCTGCCAGACTCACGGAAATCTCTCGGCTCGGCCGGGCAATCCCTGGCGCCAGTTTTGTTAAATCTCCCACTCCCTCTCTCTCTCTCTCTCTCTCTCTATCTTTCTCACACTCCGTCTGTCTATCTTACCCCTCTCATGGTCGTCTGCATTGTATTCCATTGAGTTTGGAACTTTTGTAAAACTCTACTTAGACTCACCTGCTTGGACATAAATTGAATGACAAGGGCGAGGCCCAAAGTCTGGCAATCCATCTCCTTCTGCCATTCGCTATTCGCCTCGAAGTACTTGGACAAGCGCTCGTAGTTCAAATAACCATCATCCATATACCGCTTCAGCCCGGGATAGTTGGCAACAATGTTGGCCGTGCTGGGCTGAATTGTGGTTGTGCTATGGGAGTCGTTGGGACCCTAATGAAAGACGGAAATAGAATGAAATAAGACTTGTCAAGTTAGGATAATATTAAAGATTTAATTACTTATTATAAAAATGTTGAACATTCTTTGAATATTTGTATAGTGTTTGTTTGCTTTATATCCTATATAAATTTTAAGGAAATTTCTAAATTAAATCATTAATAAAGTCCAGATGTTGTAAATGCTCATAATATAAATACAATTTTTAAGTGACTTCAAAAGAAGTAGAGTGCTGTAATCGAGAGTGACCGACTAGGAGATATGCTTTCTCTCTGCGTTTATGGTTGGAATAGATATCTAGACTTTATACACTTAGTGTGCTAGGATTTTTCCAAGAATTTTATAGCTTATTTATCTATAGGCTAGAGTTGTATGAGGGAACTTTACCACTAGTTAACTATTCAAAAATGTAAGCTATATTGTATATGGAGTATAATTTTTATACCAGAATACATATAGCATATATATAGTATAAGTGTTATACTAGAATATATCCAAAGTATTCTATATTATTGATATATATATTACCATATATATTTCAATACTCACCTCATTTGTACTGGAATTTGTGGTTGCTGTTTTATTGCATATTGCCCCATCTTCGAGTGCTTCAGCTGTTTGTGATGTTTGCGCTTCCTGCTGCTGCTGCTGCTTCTCCAATGTGCAGTCATTTGACTCAGTTGGTTTTGTTGGCTCGGGGGTGTGGCTGCCGCAACGTTTGACCTTGGGCGCTTTTTCGACGGCGCAGCTGCAGCTGCTGTTGACAGTGCCGCAAATACAGACCAGCTCATTGCTGAGGGAGGCCCGCTTGGAGTCACGCGGTGATTGGCTGGAGGACAAGAGTAGACCAAGTCCATTGAGCTCCTGCAGTTCTGTTTGGTCCACGCCGGAACGTAGCGATTCTGCAATGCAAGAAAGAGACAAAGAAAGTGAGAATTGAGTTAGTTTGTGGAATATATCAAAATATGGATTAAATAAGAGCCAAGAGAAAGTCTGTTGCGACGTCAACAATCATTATAACGATGAGCTAATGATGAGTCAGTTCAGCTAAGGCAGCTCATTCATTTGAGGCAGATGAGTAATTGCTGCGGCTCACAGCGAACCACAAGCAATTGTCTGGGATCAGAGAGAGGCGGGCATCAATCTCAATGACAAACAGCACACGAAGCCATGAAGAAAGCGAAAGCACAACAAAAACTATGTCTTCATCAATTACGCAGATTATTTTAGGTGCGAGCGTGACCACGCCCACCAATGGGGTTAGAGGCCTCTGGAGACAGCAAAAGCCTCATCAATAATACAAAACTTCAGATGAGATCAGAGAGAGAGAGAGATGGAAAAATATAGATGGGTTAGAGTGAGACAGTCACGATTGTCATAACTTGCCAAGAGACTTCAGAGTTGAGCTACCTGCAAGAGGCGTTCCATTAACTTACGACGATCCTCGCTGTATCGCGCCTCTACAGTCATTACTCTCGACTCACCTCACCCCACCCCCCGCCTCTCTTCATCTTCTGTTAAAACATAGCTTACACGATTTCCTTACAGCGCACGCGCCATAAAAGAGGCCTTTGGTCGTGTTACCGCATCAATTTATGGCTAACTGCCGTACAAAATTGTCAACGCCAACCAGTACAACCTGTACTGGCCCCAACCAATCAACAAACAGCATAGCCTGTACATGCTCGAGACATAAATTGAAGCCAAGTCTCTGGCATTTCTTCCTCGTAAATCAATTTCCTCCGCACTCGCCAAATTGTTCGTATTTTATCAATTGATTTATGAAAATAATTTCTTAATTTATAAAAATTTATGTTTGTGATTGTTAGCGGTAAAAAAAATAAAATAAAACATAATTATGATTGTTCAAATATTTCTGCATAGCGAACACAATTTTTATGAATTTATCATTTATAGAAAATTGTTTACTGTAAGCTCCTTAAGTTGAAGCTCGTATTAGCGGCCGCTCCCCTTGCCTTCAGCAAAACCCGCCTCTAAATTACCTGCGCCAGGTGAGTGCAGGAAAAGACTAACGCCGAGCATTAAGCCAATTACTCAAATTGGCTGTCGATGAGGCGATGACAGTTGGCCAATTAAACGAACTGGACAACAACTTAAGCCCAGACACAGGCCACAACAGAGAACCGAGCAGGTTAAATGGGAAAAACTGTTGACAGACAGTTGGTTGGGTCTAAGAGGTGTGGAGCTTAAGAGTTGTATGCTATATAGAGTTATATATAAACAGCTTAAGCGTTAATGAAAGGCAAAGATTGTCAAATTATTATTATAACTGCATAATGGGCATTAGCAATAGGAAATTTTTAGTAAAAACTGCTTAAGGAATGGATTACCTTTTGCATATTGGAATAATAGCAATGATAATGGCAATATTTATGGGAAAAAAATATATAAAAATATATAATAGTGACAATGACAATGTTAGAAAAATGACGATGCTAACTTTGCTGTCAATCAAATAATCAATCATAATAATCAAAATTCAAAGAAAATTTAAAAAAAAGCGAAAATTTTTTGCTTTTTTCTTCATCATTTTCTACTCATTAGGAATTTCCCTTAGTCAGATTTCCCCAATTCCTAGGCGAATTCTCTAATGACCATTAGCAATAAATGGCAAAGAAGACCTTGCCCCGATGGCACACCTGATGTGAAAGTCGCCTGTTGCAAGCTGCAAATTGCATGCGGCAAGTTGCAAGTCGCGCGTCGCGCGTCGCAAATTTAATGACACACGCCTTGAGAATTGTGCGCTTGGGTCTGGCACACGACGATGACGGACTCGCCCGCTTTGGTATTCCAAAATTCTGGAATGGCAATTAGGCAATTAAATGGCATTAGTTACACGACATTCGATTGCCGAAGGCCGCAAACACAAACATATATATGTATGTATATATTTTAGCCATGACACTGACTGATTGACTGTGCTTGCAAGAATTTTCCCGCATTTTGCGTTCTCACGGATCTGCGCTGCTTGCAACAAGTTGCCAGCCGTTGGCCGCCGTCCGCTGACAGGATCGCAATGGGCGGCCATTGCATGCTGCGATTGTGTTTTATGGCCCGCTAACCGACCACCTCAGTAGTTATTCGCTCGAATGTGCCAAACAAGTTCCTTTCATTTCCATTGCCATCTTTTTTCCCACCTTTTTCCCACTGGACTCAACTTTTATGGCCGCCAGGATAAACCCAGTCGCCTGTTTCATTCAGAATTTTTAGTGCGCAGCGCTTGTGCGTGTGGACTTTCCCTAAATATTAAAGATTTGTTTGGCGTTGCGACACAAATTAGTCCAAGTAGAGTTTAGTGGCATGAAAGGATTGAAGTTCCATAAATAAATTCTTAATAGCTAAATATAAATAAGCTCTAGTGGGTAGTGCTGGCCAAGTAATAATATCCTGAATCCAATTCGAGCTGTACATTTAATGTATCAAAAGTTGACCCTATTCCAAACCCCTCCGCATAAACGCAAATCGATCTATCAGTCTCTCCTGCAGTTCATTGGGCTACAAAATATCTTTTATATTTTCAAATCTCTCATTAGCCACGATCCTCGATCGACAGTATTTACATAGATGTTCCAGCATTCGCCATTACACTTTAATCTAGTCACACGAAGTCCATATATTTTCATCTCTACACTCTGCTCTATTATTCCTTAATATATTCCCTCTATACGTTTGGTCAGCCAAGCTCATAATGAGGGTCTTTTGGGTTTTTTGATTTTCAGTTTTCAGATTTTTGGTTTTTGGTTTTCGGTTTTAGATTTCACTCTGTCAGCTAGAAATCAACATGTGTCAACGCCTGCTGTCCATGCACACTGTGCGGCACAGTGGGCTGATGTTTAGCTATTTGACAGGCGCTGTCAAGCGGAGACTGACCAATGCATACACACACACACATACAGAGAGTAAAATAATTGAAATTCCGAAATATCTTATTTGGCATTAAGCAGCAGCAGTAGCCGTAGCCGTCGCCCAAGTGAGTGAACTTCGTGAAGTATTCACACACGCACTCACATAGGCATTCGAATTCGCATTTGTTGTTTTAGCCACATTTGGAAAATGCAACCTGTCTTGGCCCATGGCGACCCACAAAGTGCAACACACACAAACAACAACAACGAACAAGTCATTGCAAAAAATGCCTTTAATTAAAACTATAAAAAAACAAACGAAAAGCTTTAAATGAAAATTTGAAAAACTAGACAACTTGCAAGTGGCAACTGGCAACTGGCATTTCAATTAGCTGCGTTTCGAAAATCATAAAAAAACACTTGAAAATTTAACATAAGATTTCTGTTTAGTTTCCAGCAAACGAAAGAAGGAGAGATTGAGCGGGAGAGGGAGAGACAGCTAGCCTTTAAGGGGAGCCTAGGTTTATTGCTCCCCGCCGTTTATTTAGCTGCGTTTTACTGTTTTAATTGCAATTTAACTGCCAAGTGATTAGTGCAAATGACAGAGCGATAGAGCAAAAGAGAGAGACAGAGAGAGAGAGAGAGAGAGAGAGCGGCCACAAGTTAGTGTGGACAATCGCCCCATTGAAGAGTCGTGGTGGCATTTACTGTGGGCGTCAAGTGGAATTAATACAAATTGCTTAAGAAAAAAAAAAAAGAAAATGCGCAAAATGTGTAATAATACAAGGCATATATACTTATGTACACTCATGGTCAAATTAATAGGTGTGAAATTTTTTTTTTTTTTAAATGGGAATAACGTCTATATTTTTTCATGTAACTAAAAAATTCAACTTATATTTAAAAATAGACACATCATAGAATAACAACAACAAAAAACAAGTTTAAAAAATAATAATTTTTAGCATAATTTTGGCATACTTCACAAAAAACTCCAAATTTTGCTGGCCAGATTAATAGGTGTGCCCAGCAAATTTAAAAAAAAAAANGATTCGAGCTTAATAGCCGTCGACGAATAGTTCGTGCCGATACAACATTGCCCATTTCGATGGCAATCGCTCTCGAAGACTTAAATGGGTCCCTTTTAGCCAAGGTGACTATACGGGAATCCTCTCTTACGGTAGTTTTCCTCCGGGCACCCGGCTTCTTTTTATCTTTTTTTGGTTTTAGAGCATTTGTAACGAAGTTCTCCGATCGTCCCATTAGTGAGGCAATGTATTTATAAGTTTTACCCTCTTCACGAAGCTTGAGAACGAGATTTCTCTCTTCAGCACTGCAGTGAACTCCACGACCCATCTAATTTTATTTAAATGTTGCAAATGAAAATTTTTATGCTTCAATCAAATTATATTCAATAATAATACTACCTTTGCTTACTCAAAAACACTTTAATATTTTAATAATTTTTTGTTTAGTTAAACACACCTATTAATGTGACCAGGTCAATTTTGAGGTAGAGAATGTATAATAGCCAAAACTTTTTAGCGAGTAAATTTTTTGGGGGGATTTACCTATTTTCTTATCAAATAGTGTGGCCATACCTAACAAAAAAAATTTCGTGCTGATAGATGTTGTCATACCGTAATTATTCCAAAATATGCTAGAATCTTTGGGTCACACCTATTAATTTGACCATGAGTGTATATATACCACATACACTAGTGTATAATATCTATATAGTCTTAAATTGGGAAATCTTAATTTATATGTTGACTAAAAACGAAGCTGACATCATAATCTATGAAGATCTCAAATTTGAATTACTGAAAAGTTGTTTTTACTATTGTGAAATCTGCATTTCAATATTTGGTTTTTGGCGTTGCCATATTACAGCAAACAAGTAGCTGACAGCTGTCACTTCGATCTGCTAAACCAAACAGCTTTATGTCTGGCAACTTGTTACGCCTGAGTCAATAAACCAACTGCAACAGTTTGACAACAACAACTATGAATGATAAGAGCAGCAAGCAGTAATA